ACGAGCAGTTACAACAAGTAGAAACAGCAATTACTGCACAGACATTTTAATCAGACCTAATCAAAGTTGTCACAGATCCACTGAAATTGACGCTTCGTATAGAAACCAGTACTGTGGTTTTTCAATTTATTTTTCCACGTAGATTCAATTCGATCAAATCAGGCGTACAAAATTTAATGAATGTTTTATCAGTAGTAACACATGTATTACAGTTTAAAATATTTCACATTTTCAAATGTTCAATACGAACGAAATTAGATAAACATGTCGGGATAAAGCAAAATACGCAGTATAACGTCTCACTTTATGCCATCGACATGTAAAGGAGATACTTTGCGGCTATAATTTTACATTAATCCATTAGTCAGTTACAAAGTCGCATGTCAGCAAACGCAATGGCCATTATATCCTATTAATAGGCCATTACATAGACACACTTGGAGTTCATGAACGTGATTAATGGAGAGAAATGAACGCTCGGCTAACCATGCATCGATCCTCCTATGTAATACTCCTGTTATTGCATTAACAAATGCCTATTATTTATTGTCTTCTATAATCGATTCACTATTAAGTATGAATAGTTCCTATTGTATGGTATGAACTATGGAGGCCTTTACATTCGATTATTTCTTACAAATACAGCAAATTATTTCTGCACGTTTAATAAAACGATTAGCCACATCATTCCTGTATAAAATTATTATATAATTAAACAGCTAAACAATTCCTATAATGACATAAAGTAGAAACTGCCCTATCAAATAATTAATAATCGAAATAATAAAACACAGCCATAGACAATAATAAACATTATATAATCAACTCTACAAAACATCAAAAACAGAAGCACGATAAAACATTACAATGAACTCGCTCAATCTATCTACAAAACGTACACCACGCCAGGCCAACAATTTCCAAATTCCTAGCAAAAATAGACAAGTCGCACAAGCGAAAACCCAATGGGAACGCGACGTGGAACAACTTTCCGCTATCGTGGCGCGTCACGGAGGCTAATTCGCACGCAAGAAGGCCGGCCTGTCCGGCGCTAAATCGGATCCGAAGTCGGACGACACTTGGATTTTCATTGATCGGGCCGGGCACGGGTACAAATCGAGTCGCGCGGGGCGGCACGCAACGCCAGAAACGATTAGCCCGATACGCGGCCGGGTTTTACACGATACATAAACCTGAAACCGTTCGAGAATAAAAACCCGTGGACTGTAGGTACGTTAGGCCGGGACCAAAGCGGATACGCGGGACGCGCGCGTTGCACAAACCAGTTGGCCGGAATAAACGTAGTTGACCATAGGGTCTGGCGCGCGGCCAGATCGCCTATCCGCGTAAGCATTCGTCTTTTCATCGCGACGCGCCACGACTGAACCGAACAGATTGATGCGCGGCTTAAAACACGCCGGCGAATAATCCGGATGATTTGGATGCCCCTAATGTGCGGCATGATTGAAATTTTCACGACCCAGATCGCTGCCAAACTGCCGCCGGCACACCGTTGTTTCGCTCGTTGTGTTATCGCCGAGTGATACGCAGCGGTCAAAAATAATGCACTGACAGTTCGTACGCGCAGCGTTGAATGAACAGAATGCGCCTCGTTCGCCGTGAAAACTACACCGGCGTGCGCTACTGTGTACTTAGAGAGCTTAGAAGTAGAACACTGTAAGCCACATTTTCCTTTTAAATGTTTGAAGAGGTTTCTATCGTTGAAACGTACGGTTAATAGAGAAATTATGTTGCTACGTGAGTAGTTAAGATTTAATTCCACAGATAGCAGAAAGTTGATCAGCTGAAAGTTTTAACGATGAAAACTGTTTTAATAATATATAATGGATTAATTTGAATGTATTTGTGTGTAACTAATAATTGATCAATTTTCAATTTGAGTCTCGATTTGGATCAACATTTGGGTCTTGTGGTAAAAGGTATTTCGAATGAAAAAATTGTATTGTATTTTTTATTATTTCTTTTGGATAAAAAGGTTTAAAGAAGAAGATGGATTTTATGTAGTCAGCTTTTTTTTCATGTAGAATCTAATGTGAAATATCTACTTAATCTTCGACGTTAATGCAACTCTTAAACGCCATACAGAAATTTATCATAGATTTTTGTAATTTAAAAGCTTACAATCGAAATCTAAATCGTAAATGATTACATTGACTATTATAAGAAGGCTATACGTCAAACTGTCTTATTTATTGTACAATGAGCAGCAGCCATCTTATCGTCTGCCATACGCGTAATTTATGATGAACAATATATCATGCATCAAAGGCGGAAATACACAATAACAGTGTATTGAAGATATTTGAACGTCAAGGATAACCCCATCGACATACTGACATCATCATTCTATCAGAAGAAGAAATAAGTGCTACAAAAATACCAAATTCAAAATTTAGAAATAAAATATTTTAAAGAGTATCGCCGTTTACAGTTGAACATTATGAGTGTTTTCTCCATTGGAAATATACCACATAAAATAAAAATAAACCACCGTTTGTAGGTAAAGGAAAAATACAATTAGATTTTCTGAGTGATATGCAGGAGAACGTGACTTTTAGCACAAGGCAACGTTTCGCAACGTTTTTTACATGTTTCTGCGATTTACTACGGTGTAGAGAGTTCATACAAATGGTGATTCATTATGTTCCAATCGTTATACGCGTATATAAATTACAATTTCACAGATTGATTCACGTTCGATCAATTAGTGTTATTTAATGAGCTCTAACGACAGCACATTTCGCCACAATAACGATAAGTTAGACATATAGCTGAATAAAGAGCCTGAGGGAAAGGAACCTAACGGAAGGCAGAGTCAAGGATTCCTTAACTTCGGAGGTAATGTTAGATAGCTAAGAATCAAATGTTTACTGAACAGATCCGTTAAATGCTCGCGAATTATCCCCGCCGCTTCTTGGTGTGCAGCCAACTCTTTAGCTAAATGCACTCGGCGCACGATGTTAGCAACTCTGAATCACCGATCCAATGTTTAAAAAAATAAAACTTTTGTAATTTTTTATTTCGTCTCCATTAGAGATTTGTCTAACGCTTTCATCGCTTCATTCGATTTCAAAGGTTTCTAAACGACCTCTATGAAAGTGATTCGAAAATAGAATTAAAAGAAATTTTTACAAAAGGTAACGAACAGTTATTACACATGACGCATTTAATCTTCAATAGAATTTCCTTTAATAAAAGTGACAGATAGATTCTTCCTACTCCGGAAATGTTATTCAAAAGAATTTTATTTTAAGAGTATATGGCAATTAAAGAATGCTTATCATATCTTATATAACTCCATGTTAAAATACTTCAACTTATTATTTCCGAAATGTAAAGTGAAAAATTTATTTCACCGAAAACATCTGCGTATTGTCGTGTATGGTACCATTTCGGTAAAAGCGGGAGTGACATTTTTTAAGGATGCGAGCCAGCTCTGTATCGCGATAAATAGATTTCCCGAGTAACTACAGTGGCCTCGACGAAACGTTTTCAGGCACCCCATAAATTCTAATTTAAAATCAGTGTCGCAACAAAAGGCCCTCAAGCCCGCCGCACCATTTCTCAGAGTGTTCCTCGCATAGCTCATTCGTTTTATCGTCTTGAACGGCACGAGCGTCACTCTGACACAGTGATAAACAGCCGCTTCTGTCGTAAGTCAAGTCACCGTAAAATCTTGGGCATTACTTGTCGCGGTGTTTACTAAGTCAGGATGACTTGACAAGGTGAATATAGTCAGCGCTAGATCTTCACCGCTTGGTCTGCTTATTCGGCATCTACCGATATTTATCATTGTTCCAGCCGCGCGATAAAAAAGATTCTACGTTTACGACATTCATACGCAACATTTGTGCCATTGTGCACTATTATAGTCAATTTTACCTGAAATACACGGCAGTAATGCATAAATACATTACATTATCTTATGCAAATTTGAAAATGAACTTTGTACCCTTCGCGAACTAGTTTTTATGCACTTTGGTACACTAATATTTAAACAGATTTTGTTAGCCAGGCTCTAGGTTTCCGCTTTTTTATGCGATAAACGCGTGTCTTAATTAAATTTTTGAATTCAAGTTAAATCCTAAAGATTAATCTAAAATCGAAAATGCTCTAACAGAAGTTACGTAACTTGCTTTACTAAACAGCAACCATGCGACTACCTATTATTTCAGCTTGAACAAATGTCTTTTTTGATGAATGGTCGTGTGTAATACGTGCAACGTTAAATTCACATTTAGGCCGAAGGTTGTTGCTTTGTGCCATTTCTATTTTTGCTCAAGATAAGCGCATTTTTCAAAGTACAAAGTGGCGATTACATGGAAATATATTCCGTCGAAGTCGTATCCAGTATTGCGATACTGTACACAATTAAAGGAACGCGATAGAATCTTGATTATCCGGGAACCATCTAA